CCCCATAAACAATGAGATCATCGCTACCGCACCATTTTCCAATTTAGAATTACTTTATTATTATCAAACAAATAATAATTCAATAACATAATTTACTGTTGTATTATCGTTGATATGTTTTATTTTATTTTGTGTAACATTTCCTTATATTGTGTTTTTGTGACTAGATCCAGTTGCCATGGCAATGGAGTTTGCACCGAATGCAGATCTGTCGAAATATCTACAACAATCCCGCGATTCGCTGTACGACAATCGTATTGACCAACTATCGTCTGCTCAGTTGTGTATATATGCACAGCAGGTGTGTTCCGGAATGCAACATATCCAGCGGCACAAGGTAACATTATAGACTTATAATACAAACACTTTTTTCTCTAGGCTTTTTATAACTCAAGAATAAAACATAGAAAAAAGCATAAAACAAATACAAAAGTCAAAGACAGTTAAAGCATGGAGGGACTAGTTTAAAAAATCCTCTGTAATCAAAGTAAACTTAACCCAATTAATAAAAGCGTTACCGTAAAACTTAAAACTGAAGAATCTTGATAATTTCTTTTAATAACTTTGATTCTCTTGAATTAAAAAAAAAAAAAAACTTTACCAAAATGCATGTTATGCCACCTCACCAGTAATCATTATTATTTGGGTAGACTCGGACAGAGCATCCCTTCCCTTTGGAAATAGTACATGCTTAGGTCCATCATATGTTACGTTGTCTTGGAGGGGCTAGTTTAAAAAATCCTCTGTAATCAAAGTAAACTTAACCCAATTAATAAAAGCGTTACCGTAAAATTTAAAACTGAAGAATCTTGATAATTTCTTTTAATAACTTTGTTTCTCTTGAATAAAAAAAAAAAAAAAAACTTCACCAAAATGCATGTTATGCCACCTCACCAGTAATCATTATTATTTGGGTAGACTCGGACAGAGCATCCCTTCCCTTTGGAAATAGTACATGATTAGGTCCATCCTATGTTACGTTGTCTTAGCCTGCATTATACGTTTATCTGTTTCAATTGCTTTTCTTTGTGTATATCTGCACCGTCATTGGGACTAGCGTTACATTTATATGTAAACAAAAATTGTGAGTTTTACATTTTAAAGCAGAAGTATCGTTATCTTTCATCATTATCTCCATTGTCATAACTATCAACATTATCATCATAATATTACTCCTAATATTATAATACTGAGCCATGGGCCTCGCCTATTGTTGTTATTATTATCATTATCATCATCATCATCATCATCATCATCATCATCATCATCATATCAGTATAGCGTTATAATTAATAATGTTATTATTACCCGCATATTTGTTGCAGATTATTCACAGGAACCTAGGAGCGAGAAATATTTTGGTTGGTGACAACAAGGTTTGCAAGATTACGGACTTTGGAAGAGCAGTTGTAGCAGACATCGATGGTACATTTGTGGAGACACAAGAGGTAGACCAAATACAGACCAGAAACACAATCCGGGTCCTATGGCATAATCTCTGGTGGAGGCCAATGGGTGCTAATTCCCCTTGAAGCCCGAAGATCTCCAGAAACTAAATAACAAAGAAGTGATTTTTACGTTAAAGCCCCATTCCCAGGAAAATGTCACTAAAAAATAATTTTTTTTAAATGCATATGCACTACTTAATTATTATAAACCTTGGAAAAAAGTGGCACAATACGCTAAAAGAAAAAATACCATGCATATTCTTGACGACTTCTTCGTTACTACTGTAGGTAAATTCAACGCTGTTTTACGTAGGGCATAATGTAGATAACATATATAATTCTTGGACATTAGGCCTAATCCATTCGCTTTATAAAAAAAATAATAGGCCTATAGATGCATACTGTGCAAGGTGTTTAAAAGAAAAAAATCACATGTTATTTTTTCTGGTAGATTCAACTACCCGTGCGCTGGACAGCAGTGGAAGGACTACGTGACCGATTATTTTCCATGAATTCCGACGTTTGGTCTTTCGGAGTGCTGATGTGGGAGATTGTAACTCTAGGTGAAATGCACATGCCACAATTTTTTCAGGCTTCTTTAATATTAACTGACAGTTCTTCAGTCATTTGAATAGTAATTTGATACTTTTGTTCTGATAAACTGTCACAATCTATGTACTTCATTATTCCTTCACTCAGAGCCTAGCACCTTATGATTGAGGTACCCCTCATGAAACAGCCTGTAGTGCAATAAAATGTTGAGTCTTTAACCCAGAGTTACATGTTTTATTTGTCTATCTGCTCTGTTATATACTGCATTGAGCACTCTTGTCTACATGATCTGGTTTAAGCCAACCACACAGATTATTAATAATATTATTAATATTATATTTATTATTATAATGCATTACTATTACTACTAATTATAATAGTGTGTATATATATATATATCTTTATTATTATTATTATTATTAATATTATTATTATTTTATTATTATAAATACTGCTTTATTACCATCAGTATAATAGCTATCTATATTATAGTACTATAGTGTACCTTGCTTTTCGTACACAGGATCAAAACCATATGGAAATATGCCTATTAAGAAAATCGCTGAAGATGTTATCGGAGGGGTGCGGCTAACAAAACCTCGACACTGCTCTGACGCACTGTAAGCTGTGTTTTTTTTAATAAGCTTTTAGTGTAAACACAAGCACAGTAAACATAAATATAATTTACACAGGCCTATACGCTCATTCATACTTAGATGCATCATAACTACATATGATTAGGATAATAATATATGTTTATATTTATAATGTATTATTAAAACAATGGTTGATAGTGTTGTTGCTGTTGTTGTTGATAAATAAAAAAAAAGTACGGTACGGTACAAGTTTAATAAAAGTTTGGCAAATATTGGCATATACGTATATATACATATACATATACATACATATGATGTATTAAATAAATTTTTGTTTTAATGATTAGACCTATGTTTTACAATCTTTAATGACAATTGTGATAATCCTTTATATATTTTGAATAGAATTTTCTATTTTCTGAAGGTACTTGGATAAACCCAGCAAATTATGAATACTGTACTTATTTAAATATTTTTTGTAAGGCGGTTTTAACCGTCCACATTGATCATTTTTCGCGCTGGAATCGTATTCGAACTTGAACTTGGGACAAAGCAAATATCCTAAAAACTAGTTAAAACCTCTGCACATTTTTTAATATTTGTAAACTGGTAATTAAAATTATGTTAACGCAATTACCATTGAAGTCAAGAGCAACCGGTCATCGGTCCGCATGTTAACCGAGGTTATTTCTATTCAGCGTTTAACGCTTCGTGTATGCATCTTTACCTATTCAGCGTTTAACGCTTCGTGTATGCATCTTTAGACTATGCTTTTTGTTGACGCTATTAAAATATGCTTAAATCATACAGCAAATATCCCCTATGCTTAAATACAGTACACAGTGACGTAGGTTATTATATTGGGTTTTCGGCAAGGGTTCATAACAGAAATAAATAATAAAATAAATAAAAATAAAATGTTCTAAATTGAAATGAAAAAAATTAAAAGTGATTAATAAGACGCAATTCGAACTCACGACATTTTGCTGCATTAGAACACATCGCTTACCGACCGCGCCATCCATGCGAAGTGTTCTATTAGTGGTAATGGCAGTAATGTACAGTCTTTTTGAAACTCTTGTTTTGTTTTGTAGGTGTAAGGGCATCCTGGGGTTCACCTAAAATCACCTCTAGTTTATGTGAAAAAAAAAAATTCCTGCATGTCGCGACGCTGGACGCTTTTAAAGCTCTGGTAACAAGAACAACAAAAACAGCAGTGATGTTCTGGGGTTCTCCTTGCGCAGACCCAATAAAACCACTTGAAATATGCCTATATAGATCAGCTTTAAAAAAAATTATAACGATATATATATATATATATATATATATATACACTATATATAAATATATATATATATCACTAGTATTTGGGGACGTACTGAGTATTCGGTACGATAGCACGTCAGGTAGGGCACAACATCACTCCATGATATTTTCGTGACGCAAATTTATATCTTTATAGAAATATAAACTCTTAGTATTCTTCCATTGCGCATTATTAAAAATTTATATTGTTTAGTTTAAGCAGCGAACTTTTTGTTTCCTAATAATACACAAATCTAGAGGCTAAAAATGTACTGTAAATGAATAAAGAATTTAATGCTAATGCTTTGAGTACTGGTAGTAGTTTGATTTGTGTTGTGTTTAATAATATTTTTAGCAGGCGATTTGAATGGCCGGGCGGTTAGAGCATGCAGTGGCCCCGCAAAGTATTGCTATAATATCGGCGCTGATTCGGAGAAGTCTTCGCGGATAAGGACAAGCTTGCTCATGTGCACATTACAGAAACCAGTACATCTTTACTAGTTCCTACATCCCCTGTATTGGTTTACCGGGTAGACAAACACGAGTTCGAACGCTTTGAGACTTCGTTATAAAGGGCTATATAAATCCAAATACAGTACATTACATTACAATAAGCACATACAATAAATTTACTATCAGAACCATAAATTCAGTTTGTGAATTTAATTGATGCAAACTCAGTAACAATGATAATTTTTTGCTGATTTTTAGATGTTGGTAAAAATACAAATTTAAGAATAGACTACAAGATTGACAAGGCAACCACTGCTAAAGACACGCTAGTAATAAGATGCAGTACAGTACTGTCAATTGTTTCTCCGATGTTGGCCATTGGTATCGTCACAGTTTCTTTTAATAATAAAAGTCAATGAAAATAACAACCAAAATCAGTAACACATAGGCCTATAACACTGACAATGTAGTCCGAGGTTAATAACAAACACTTTAAGATACTCATATTAAGAATGGCTCATACATTTATCAGAACTCATGTTATTATACATTTTGATTCCATTAACACGGCTCCGCGGTTGATTTAAGAAGGTCGTTACTTGGTTTAGGTCCAATCTACTTTAATAATAAGACCGTATGAAATACTTTCTTTTTATGTCCTGTGACAAAAGTGTGATTACAATGGTAAGCTGCTACTCTAGTAATATGTACCATTAAACAGATTACCCAAGGTAAAATATTTGATCCTAAATGAAACTCCCATTGTTGGCTAAATTATTAGAGTGCTATGAATTTATTAAATTTGTGAACACAAAGCACACACTTAATGACAGTTCCGCCAAACGAAATGATGTACTGTGTATATAATGCCTAGGATGTCAAACTGGTAAATTAGAAAAACTGTAAACAAAAGTAAATACTCTAGACCTATTACACTATGTTGTATTTGAAAATAATAATATATTACGTATATCTAAGATTAATATAAATTTACTTGCGTTTCAAAATTCTTCAAACACAGTAATATTATTTAAGAATTATTGATTTGGACATCAACAAATATAATCCGCGCATTAAAGATAGCGACATATTGTATAGGTCATACAAATTTAGTTGTATAGATAAAGGTTTATCTAACCTAATTCTAAGATAAAAAAAAATTAAGGTGATTAACATTGATTTTCTTAAACACCAACCTCGTAATCTATAAGAAAGTATCTTTTTATCACACACCATAGAAAAAAAAAAGAAAAAAAAAACACGGACTGCATCTACGCAGCTCTTATTCACATCACCTTGATACAAACGTTATAGGGATACGCATTTGTACCACTAAGACTCTTGTTCTAATAACGCACTATGTTTTGTGGGAACACAGCACAATGAAAAACATTTCTGAAAATTATTGTGTCATCCTGGCTAAATATCTTAATAAATAAACAAACTAAAAGTGATGGGGCTAATCATTCTGATTATTGATATTTTTTGGTTCACCTTCCCACTTTCCTAAATAGTTTAAAGGCAGATATGCTTTTATACTTATAATACTCACCACAAAAAGGATCTCACTGGAAATATGTCTTTGCATTTCCTTGGAATATTATTGGTGTTCGAAAGTGCTTGCCCCACAAAACACACGTTGCCCTACAAACGCATGTGTCTGCGTAAGTTTACGCTGTCATTTTGTAGGAGCTTTGCAACAATACCCAAGGGACGCAATAAAACGGAAAGTCACTTGAGTTTACACTCGTCATGACTTTCGCCAAAACAACTCCGCATCCCATGTCATTCATGACCTTGTTAATAGCACCGTTGTAGCTTTTTGGAAAAAAACAAAAACACATAGTCTAGTTTCCGTCCTTTTAAAGCCGTTTTATTCACAACATTCTTTTTATGATGGCATTATCAAATGAAAACATAATACATTATTGCAAGTTATGCTCAACATAATTATATTTAGGCATTGATATAAGCATTAATATACATATGCCTAATTGTAACCATAGTTAATAATGAACGATTACATTTTTCATCTTTAGACACAATATCTAAGGATATGCCAAACAGTGAACAAAGTCACGTCTTCGAAGTTGCAAAATCCTTCACAAGACAAATACAAGGAAGGATGCCCTATACGACGACTTTTAAGTCTTATTTTGGGGCTTACAGAGTTAGGTTGGTTTTGGTGTGAGAAAGTCATTGTTACCATGACGAAAACTGAACGCATGACACTGGAATTTGAAGGCAAGCATCTTAACAACCAAGAAAATTAACTCCACTTGTTTGTTCCTCGTATCCTTCCAGCGCACAGTGGGCCAGACTGAAGTGAAAGTGTGCCAAAATTATTTACTCATTACAGAAGCAAATATAAGCGAATACAAGACTTATCTAGAGGTCTTCATACCCGTAGAATTCAATAAAAGCATTTTCAAATCTATTTGACGTCATTTTTGTACTGTTTTCTGATTGGACGATGTCAGTTTTTATTGTAATACCAAAACAAGTTCATACTACAATGATTTTTGAAATGTTTAAGGATGTTTAGGACAAAAGAACTTCTGTGGAAACTTTTTGTATTTTCCATGACGTCATCAAAATACATTTTTCTGATTGGACGGGGCCAAAAGTGTTTTAGGCCAACATTAACATTTCTATTGTTAATCTTACAGTGAATATAGATTTTTTTTAATAAATCGAAATCGAAATCTAAATCAAAATTTATAAAGAAGTTCAGTGCGTACATTTTATGTCAACATCTCTTGTACTTTACCCTTGTGCAAACTCTCTGGAAAGATCCTCCCATACTTCGATAGGACGTCCCGGTTTTGGTTGCTTTTAAGTCTCTTGTGGGTTTTCTGCTGGTGTGGAAAGAATATCTCTGTTCTGTGTCAAAACATTAATAACTTCATCAGAAAATGGAATCCTGCTGTCAAGCCACGAGTTATTTTCTTTAGAAACCCTGCAAACACGTGTTTACGTTCTTATAACTTTCTTGGCCAATGTTGTGGTTAGGTATGTCACAAAATAACGTTTACACAACGTTGTAGGAACGTGCAAACGTTGTGAAATTATGTTCAGTACGTATTTATGGTTCTACAAAATAAAATTTTCAACCAAAAACTGTAACATTATTGTCACGTTATCTTAACGTATTATTGTTTGCTGGGAAGGTCGTTACTACTCGCGTAGTAGCTCACCTCTCCTTAAGTTGGAACAGGAAGCTTTTCACAATCTTGGATGTCTTTGAATAAAGTTAAAAACAATTGTAGATATCATCTTCATTAT